ATCCCATAATGATCCAGAGTGTGAGCTGTTCCCCGGAGGGTGGCTTGATCGGAAATATCCCACACTCCCCCCTCACACTTTATTTTTTTTACAATAGGATAGTTTCATGTTTTGATCCTGCGTTTTATTCTGTGAACCGCCCTGAGGATCTTATGATGGAGGGCGGGATGTGAATCTCATAAATAAGCAAAATAAGTAAATAAATAAAATAAAATAAATAAAATAAAAAGTAAAATAAATATTTAAGGCTCAGAGCTGAAAAATCGGGGAAACTCCTGGAAACTCGGGAAGGACATCCTCATGGACTGGGCGGCGAGTCCTTTGATTCCCTTGAAAACACAAGACATGAATTATTTAACCTTTCATTTGTTGCATTTCAGTTCTGACTTTTCCTCCTCACCATTGACTCCCCCCAAACAACCCTGTGAGGTACATCAGGCTGAGAGTGAGAGACTGCCCCAAGGTCACCCAGTCCGCTCCATGGCCAAGTGGGAGGGATTTGAACCCTGGTCTCCCAGATCATGGTCCTGGGAACTGTAGTTTACCCCTAACAGAACTAAAGCCAAGATCTACACTGGCTCCCAGTACGTTTCCGAGCACAATTCAAAGTGTTGGTGCTGACCTTTAAAGCCCTAAACGACTTCAATCCAGTATACCTGAAGGAGCGTCTCCACGCCCATCGTTCTGCCCGGACACTGAGGTCCAGTGCCAAGGGCCTTCTGGCTGTTCCCTCACTGCGAGAAGCCAAGTTACAGTGAACCAGGCAGAGGGCCTTCTAGGTGGTGGCACCTGCCCTGTGGAATGCCCTCCCACCAGATGTCAAAGAGAACAACAACTACCAGACTTTTAGAAGACTTCCGAAGGCAGCCCTGTTTAGGGAAGCTTTTAATGTTTAACAGACCACTGTACTTTAATACTTTGTTGGAAGCCGCCCAGGGTGGCTGGGGAGACCCAGCCAGATGAACGGGGTATAAAAAATAAATTATTATTATTATTATTATTATTATTATTATACCAGGCACTCTGATCACTACAATACATTAACCCTCTACCATATCTCTTAATCCAACGTTGTCATCCAGAGTTGTCTTCCCCAGCCTGGTGTCCTCTGATTGTTGCAGGAACTCTGACTCCCATCAGCCCTTGCTGCCAGAATGGTCAATGCTCAATGACGATGGAAGTCGTAGTTCCACAATGTTCTTGAACTCCGAACTCACATCAGCCTGAATGAGCATGCCCAGTGGACGGGGATTATGGGAGGTGTAGTTCAGCAATGTCCTCGGGCTCCAGCTCCTATCAGACTCAGTCAGCATGGCCAAAGGGCAGAGATGATGGAAGTTGTAGCTCCAGTAGGGAACATCTGGTTTCCTGTAGCTTAAAGCACATAAGTTCTCTTAAATGTACAGGGATTTAGTATAGGTCAATAAAAGTAAAATTGATTCTAATTCTATTTGTACCAGGGTTATTTTTTTTCATTCCATCTTTTATTTGTGTTCTGAAATGTCCCTGCCATTTTTATTTTTATTTTGCGCTTTTCACCGGAGGAAAATAAAATCTATGGCTTCATTCATACCCTCAGTGCTGGTGTCTAAATTTATACTGATCTTGTGGAGCCTTTCTGCTGCCCTGAACCATTCGGTCATTACAGTGGTACCTCGGGTTAAGTATTTAATTCGTTCTGGAGGTCCGTTCTTAACCTGAAACTGTTCTTAACCTGAAGCACCACTTTAGCTAATGGGGCCTCCTGCTGCCGCTGTGCCGCCACTGCATGATTTATGTTCTCATCCTGAAGCAAAGTTCTTAACCCGAGGTACTATTTCTGGGTTAGCAGAGTCTGTAACCTGAAGCATCTGTAACCTGAAGTGTATGTAACCCGAGGTACCACTGTACTTCAAAATGGTTTTCTCATGTATGAAAAGCTATGGCTCACATCCCATAAACTCCCAGATGCCAAGCATCATTCAGTAATCCAAGAGGAACATCTCTCCTAAAATGGTACAGACTGTAATCTGTCTATTTACTTATTTTTTTATTCAGAGCATTTATGCTCTTTGGCCAGAGAAGCTCCCGGAACAGCTTACAGATCAATAAAAAGAACAGAGTCCCTGCTCTGGGGCTTGCCTGTTAAAAAGACACAACACAAAAGGAAAATGCAATGGGAAGGGAAAAGGAAAACATGTGAAGCCAGGCACCGAATTCTTAACATTACAAGGTTCTTAGATATGCGTACCTTGATTTAAAAGCAAAACCTCAAATTCTTCTCCGACCTCAGAATTAACTTAGCATTCCTCTTTCTTTCTCACACACAGCAGGAAATGCCTCTTCTAGTAAAGATAAGGCCTTCAGCGATGCATACTTAATCACCTTTAAAAATGAAGGGAAATCCTTCTTGCTTCAGCACTATTGCAATATTCCAACTCTATGACGATGCTTTAATTGATCGATCAATTCAGACGATGACGACTCTACAAAGATTTCTTTAATTGCAATGTCACATCGAGACAGCCAAACATTGTGGGGCACTGGCCCTCCCAATATGTAAAATAGTAAACATGTACATAAAATACATATCGTTTTAAGTCTAGGAAAACTGCGGAAAGTGGGGGGAGCTGATTGAAATGCAAGGCTGTTCCCCAAAACCAGTGCCGGATTTATGTATAAGCTAAACAAGCTATAGCTTAATGCCCCACTCTCTTGGTGCCCCCCCAAAAAAATTAAAGAAAAAAAACCTGGATTTACATTTCCAAAATATAAGATAAAAAACAAATAAAATAAAACCTACATACAGCAACAGTGTTTTGTGTTGTGTTGTTGTTTAGTCGTTTAGTCGTGTCCGACTCTTTGTGACCCCATGGACCAGAGCACGCCAGGCACTCCTGTCTTCCACTGCCTCCCGCAGTTTGGTCAAACTCATGCTGGTAGCTTCAAGAACACTGTCCAACCATCTCGTCCTCTGTCGTCCCCTTCTCCTTGTGCCCTCCATCTTTCCCAACATCAGGTTCTTTTCCAGGGAGTCTTCTCTTCTCATGAGGTGGCCAAAGTCTTGGAGCCTCAGCTTCAGGATGTGTCCTTCCAGTGAGCACTCAGGGCTGATTTCCTTCAGAATGGAGAGGTTTGATCTTCTTGCAGTCCATGGGACTCTCAAGAGTCTCCTCCAGCACCTTAATTCAAAAGCATCAATTCTTCGGCGATCAGCCTTCTTTATGGTCCAGCTCTCACTTCCATACATCACTACTGGGAAAACCATAGTTTTAACTATACAGACCTTTGTTGGCAAGGTGATATCTCTGCTTTTTAAGATGCTGTGTTGTGTAGGCTGCTATTTTGTTATGTGCAAATGGCTTTAGATACCTATCAGGTCCATAAATTACCATATAGCATATATTCAACACAAAAAACAGCGGCAATTTGTTGTTGACAAAGGACAGCTGGACATAAAAACGGCCCCATTGGCTTCAGTAGCTTAGGGCCTCATCGAACCTAAATCCGGCCCTGCCCACAATATAATGCATTTTTGTATGTCGTGTTCCTGAACGTATGCATTTTGGGGGCATAATTTTCCCCCAGCAGAAGCATTTTTTGTAGACAAGAATTGGCTGCACTCCAGAAATCTGGAGAAGTGTGGATATCTGTGCAAAATTAAGGCGGTTCGCCTACAGATCAAGGTAAACAATAATACCACTCTAATCATCATGAAGGTGATTTATCAAGTCACCATCATCTGTGGCCTTGATAATGTCAGGTAACTGATAGTTGGATGGCCGCACCTCCCTGCCAGATTTCCCCCACAGGAAGTGCACCACCCTGCAGGATTGAACTCTCTGCTCATCAGCTGATGAGTGGGGGTTAAGTCTTGCTGCTTTAGTTGCATACCAGTTTTCTGGAGAAGGAGGAGGAAGGGGCAATTTCAGCCCATGCCCAATCTAATTCTTCCCCCTGTGCGTCAAGTTGATATCGATGCCAGTGACGTCAAATGATTGACATGGGGATGTGGTCTGGGGATGTGGTTTGGGGGAAGGTGCCACTGGAATTATTAAAAAAGATTTTTCCATCTTTCACCTTGTTATTTTTATGACTATGACAGGTCAACACACTGCTATCCACCTGTATAGCTAATATACCCAGTTTGGCCTAAAAGGCCATTTCCCCCAATCCACACCCCCATGTCAATCATTTGGCGTCACTGGCATCGATATCAACTTGATGGACAGGGGGAAGGATTAGATTGTGCATGGACTGAAATTGCACCTTTTGCCTCCCTCCCCAGAAATCGCACGACGGTGGCACGGTGACAGCGGGAGGCCCCATTAGCTAAAGTGGTACCTCAGGTTAAGAACAGTTTCAGGTTAAGAACGGACCTTCAGAACGAATTAAGTTCTTAACCTGAGGTACCACTGTATCTTGGTTCAGACCAGAGGTCCATCTATGCCAAACATCCTCTTTGCACCCAGCTGTCTCCCAAAAGCCCATCAGCCCTGGCAGTGCAATGAATCACCAAGACCTTGGTTCGGATCAACGGTCCAGTTATACTCAGCAATTTTGTTCCCACCAGAGGTCCATCTGTATACTAACATCCCTCTTTTTCTGCTCGCCAAATGTCTCCACTGACAATGGAGTTAACCATTGAGGCTTTGGCACTGCTGTGCACTTTGTAATATCTGGTACTGCTGCCCCCTCTTGGAGGCAAGATACTGGGTTAATGCTTTTTTGTTTAAAGTATAGTTGGTGTGTAAGGTTTTTTTTAATACACCCTGGCTGCTCTGGCTGCCCATACCTTGGGCCTTACACACGAGCGCAGAGCGTGGGCGATGCTTTGCATCACCAGCAGGAAGAACGAGAAGGACCATGAGGCGCATCCTCTGGTTTTGCAATGGCTTGCCTGCTGATGCCAGGTGAGTTGCAGAGGAGGAACGCCCCAAAAAGAGTGTCTGAGCCACAGGAGGGGAGGGAATGTTTCTCTCTAAAAGGAAGTTGGGACTGGCCTCGTGACACAGGCATTGGGCGGATTCAAGAGGTGGGTGGTGTCTAATCTCATATAGCCCAACTCCTGCCAGCGCCAGGACGAAACAGGCAGACGGACTCAGAAGTCTTTGGTCGACGAGAGACACACAGCCCACAACACAACCATGCCAGGTAAGGAATATCCAACACATCGCCGTCTGTTTGTTTATCGCATGGGGGAAAGGGCTTCTTTCTAAGGACCCTACGGCGAGACGCTGGTCTTCTTTCAACCTGGAATGTAGCTAGGAAGTTTCTGAGGACATGTCTCTACAGGTCTTGGTGGAGCAAGTGCCGTCGTCTGACTGGCGTGCCAACGAAATGTCCCTGGGAAGCGAAAAGATCTGGGATGAAAGAGATGTGGGGGTTGGGGGGTTGGGATCAGAATCGGGGAAAGGAATAAAGAACCCAGAGGTGGTATTAGGGTCTCACCAAACCACTGGGTCTTGACTTGGGTTGGGCTACGCTGAAAGTCTTGTGCGATCTCCTTCGTTTACTGGATTCCAGAAGCCCACCCATGTGTGCTAAAGTTATGCAGAGCTAGGATCTAAATCCTAACCAATCTGCGTCTGATGATACCTTCGGACTATAGGGAGATGTCTTCTACTGAGTCAGACCAAAGGTCCATCTAGGACCAAAACTGTCCACAGTTCCCAGCTTGGCGAAGGGAATCTGTTCCTCCCATCCCTTCCTGGAGATGTCTGCGATTAAATTGAGGACATTCTCCATGAAAATCATCCCATCTACCCCTGAGCTACAGCCTTTCCCCTGAACAAGTGCGCAAGTCCTGTTTGTGAGCACCTCTTGGCTGGATCACGTCACGTCCAGCATTCTTAGCAAGAATCCATCCACTATGTGGTCAGCCGATGGCCCATGAGTGATGTGCTCTGGTACAAGGCAGCTTCCTAACTTTTTAAGCTTTGGTATAAGAGAGACTGAGCAGCTTCTGAATACCAGTTACTGGGATCCACAGGTGGGGCTTGTGTTCGAATCCTGGTTGTGGGTTACCTGCAGGCCTCTGGTCGGCCACTGTTTGAACAGGATGCTGGACTAGATGGGCTCTTGGCCTGATCCAGCAACCGGCTCTTAAGGACAGGCGTTCTGCGCAGAGAACTTGCACTTCTCCACATTTTGCGGTGCAGCGATGTGTCTGAAAAACACACCCGTCAGGGTGAAGCAAGTGTATAAATGCGCATAGCACATCTGCGAAGCTGGCTTGACAAAGATGGCTTGACGAAAAAAATGTGTGTATCGGGAGAAATCTTTAGGAAATGGCTGGTGAGTTTTCAAGAGGATTTTAAAAGAAAGCTTCAACCACATGTGGAAATATGGAGAACTTTAATACTGGGGAAATGAGAAATTGAGAAACAGTGAAGCCGACATGTTTGCTTATCCATGGCTAACCACTTTTTGAAAACATGGATTTCCATAGGGTCTAAGTGCAACTCGTTTGGTCTGAACCCAACCCATTGCTCTTGACCACCTGTCTGAGATGATGATGATGATGATTGAAAGGGCACGTTGGTTTAGGTGCCCCCTTCCCAAGGATGAAAGGCAGCTGCCTGTCTATATCAGATTAGGTTTAATGGTCCTAGTAAAGGTAAAGGGACCCCTGACCATTGTGTCCAGTCGTGGCTGACTCTGGGGTTGCAGTGCTCATCTCGCTTTAGTGGCCGAGGGAGCCGGCGTACAGTTTCCGGGTCATGTGGCCAGCATGACTAAGCCGCTTCTGGCGAACCAGAGCAGTGCACGGAAATGCCATTTGCCTTCCCACCAGAGCGGTACCTATTTATCTACTTGCACTGGTGTGCTTTCGAACTGCTAGGTTGGCAGGAGCAGGGACTGAGCAACGGGAGCTCACCTCATCACAGGGATTCAAACCACCAACCTTCTGATCGGCAAGTCCTAGGCTCTGTGGTTTAACCCACAGCGCCACCCGCGTCCCTTAATGGTCCTAGGACAGCCTAAAAAAGGAATGACTTTTAAGCCATTTGGATGACTTTTAAGACATCTGAAGGCAGCCCTGTGTGGAGAAGTCTTTCAATGTGTTCTGTTTTATTATGTTTTTATGTATGTTGGAAGCCACCCAATGTGTAATTATTATTACACATTGACCTAAGTCCCACAGAACAGAGCTGGATTTTTTCCCAAGTAAGCATGCCCAGAATCGTTGCAGAATAATTGAATTGGTCCATCTAGCTGAGGGCTTTCCCCACCATGGTGGCCTTCAGACATTTTGGACCACAACTCCCATTAGCCTCAGACAACAGTCAGGACAGATGATAGCGGAAGTTCAACACCACCTGGAGGATGCAGTCCGACCTTAAGATGCCAGATTTTGAACTCGGGACCTTCGACATGCAAGGCAGATGTCCGACTACTGGGTACAACTCTCTTGCCCACAGAAGGTGCCAGGATCAATACCCCATGGCTTTTTCAGGTGGGGCTGGGAATGTCTCCTCCCCGAAGCCTTGGTGGGCAATTGCCAGACAATACTGAACAAGATAGATCAATGGTCTGCCTCTGTATGAACATAGCTTCCTATGTTCAAAGGAGCACACACTTTTCAGAAAGAGCCTCAGATCGTGACGAACTGTCGAAACAGCCAACGGGAGGGAAGGAAGGGTAAAAAACTACGACAAGTTTCAGCTTGGTTGACCAAATACGAACAATCACAGTCCAGCAATAATACTTAGAGACTTCTCTGTGGAGGGTGTGTCTGAAGGACACAGCCTCTCCTCTAAGAAAGTTTGCCCACCCCTCTGTACTGAATGAATCTGTTTCAATGTGGGTCTGCCAATAGCTCTGTGGGACATTTCATGTAAGTTCTGAAAGCTGACGTCTTTACGGCCAGGAAGGAAGCTTCTATGCAGATGTCCACATCTGGATATGCATCCAACCATCCTAAAATAAATAGCCAACACCATCTAGAGATCCCCATGTTTCAGGAAGCAGTGTCAGAAGTATAGCTTCCATAAGCGAGTTTGTTTCTCAGCTCTTGACCATCTCCAAATTGGGATTTTCAAAAAGACAGGGCAAAGGCGTGGGAAAGGTCCACTGGGAAAACAAGGAGCTTCCATAACTCAGTGGAAGAGGATGTTCTTTGGAACTGGAATGATGAGGAGTAGACATGGGTGGTGGTGGTGGTTTCCAATTCAGTTCAAGTTTAAAGGCAAGCTGATCAGGTTTGCGGCTGCTGAAATGATCTGAGAATTGAAATGGAGCCATCTTTCGCAATTGAACTTTCTCTGAATTTTGCAACGCAGTTCTCCAAAGAACCAAGGTTGACAAAAAGAAATCTTCTATTAGGGCAAATTGTGCATGAAAGTTGACGTCTTGATGAAAATAACTTAGAAGAATGCATTCTGTTAGGGGAAAGGCTTACAAAAATATGTAGCATTGTCAAAACTGTATATGGGGGAAAAATGTAATTATTAGGTGAAATCCACTCTGAAATGCTGGTGGGATTTCACGAGGGCTTTTTAAAAACTGAAAATTGCTGCAGAAATGTGGAGGCTCAAATTTCAAATTGGAAAAATGAGGATTCCAAAAATGAGTAACTTAAACTGATAAATCCTTCCGTTCCTAGTTGGGCAAAAGTATCAATTTCAGTTCTTGCTTTCTCCCATTTCCAATAGCTACTGCCCTTCCTCTCATTAATTCATTGATTTTTTCCACGATCATTTATTACCCCAGAAAGTTGCCTTGAGCCCCAGTCAGGAAGATGTGGTGTACACATATTTAAAATAAATGAATTCTCATTTTAAAAAAAGAATGAGTCAGGGACGGATAAGTGCGTAGGCAGCCACCAAATTTGCGATGGGTCTTCAGCCACAGAATAAAAAGCCAGGATGACACAACTTTGGGGGGTCTATTATTATTTATTTTTTAAAATGATTGCTTTTATCATCAGGCAGTACACCCCCAAAAGTAAGGTTAAGGGTTCGGGTTGGAACACAGCCCATTTGCTCCTAGCTGGGATGAATTGGAAGCAGTAATTAAAACGTTCCGAGGCCCGCAGGAATCCAGCCTGTTATACTGCCTCAGCAACCTGGTTAAAATTGCTGATGAGCTCTAAATAATAAACTGGAATTTGGAAGAGGGCTTCCCTGGCATGCTGTGACTTAGACCGGGCAGCAACGTGCCAGGAAATACAGATTCATAGGAAAGAGGAAGGCACCTTTAAGCATGTGCAGAGTGCTGAACCCTCTTCCTTTGAGGAGAGAGGACTCCCACCCATCACAGGTAGCGATGGCAGGAAGCTTCCAGGTTAGGAAGAACTCTTGCCATGTTCAGAAGAGAACCTCCATGTTCTAAGGCAGTCTACCGCTGAACGCTAAACACTGGAAACAACCAAGGCTCCGAATCATGTGTCCTTTGGAATTGCAAGCAGGGAGCATTGCTGTCATGCGCCCTGCATTGGCTTCCCATCTGGTTGGCTGCTTCGAGGACGGGGTGCTGTTCTAGATGGGCCTTTGGCCTGATCCTGCTGCCAGGCTCTCCTGGTGTTCTTGAAAATCAAATCAACCTTGCGAGAGCTTGCCAGACCAGGTGCGAAGGAACGGAGAAACCCATCGAGGGTGTGACATGGGCAAGCCCTTTCTTGCTCAGTCTGCTAGGTACAAAATGCCTTTGAAACCTCACACACCTGGGCTTCACCTCCTCACCCGGCTTATCTGTGGGAGAAAACATTTCCTGCGTCTCTCTGATCCATTTGAAATGTCGGTGTCCCAAATTCTGCCCTAAGCAGGTGCTTTTGTGCCAGCAGCCGGTTCCCAGAGACATCCAGGCGGTTCCATGTTGGCTAACCCCCCTGTTGCTAGAATTAAAGGAGACAACTTGTTTCTGTTTCCTCTCGCGCATGTGCGGCTAATTTGCAGGATGCCGTCATCTGCATCGAAACATTCCTCCGCCGAGTCAGGATGGGCCGGAGAGACCAGATCCCTGGCAGTTGGGCAAGAGTTTTAGGAACCTGTCCTGGTTCCCTATCGTGGTGGGTGGGGACGGCCTCCCACGCTTTCCTGCCTTATCACCCCAGAGCAATGCAGCTGGCAGTGACGTGTCACATATATGCACTTGCAAGTGGGGTGGCATCTAAGGGCAGGAGGAATTCCAAGGATGGGGCAGAAAGGGCTGCAAGGCACCTGTTGTTGTTGTTGTTTAGTCGCTTAGTCGTGTCCGACTCTTCGTGACCCCCTGGACCAGAGCACGCCAGGCACTCCTATCTTCCACTACCTCCAGCAGTTTAGTCAAACTCATGCTGGTAGCTTCGAGAACACTATCCAACCATCTCATCCTCTGTCGTCCCCTTCTCCTTGTGCCCTCAATCTTTCCCAACATCAGGGTCTTTTCCAGGGAGTCTTCTCTTCTCATGATGTGGCCAAAGTATTGGAGCCTCAGCTTCAGGATCTGTCCTTCCAGTGAGCACTCAGGGCTGATTTCCTTAAGAATGGATAGGTTTGATCTTCTTGCAGTCCATGGGACTCTCAAGAGTCTCCTCCAGCACCATAATTCAAAAGCATCAATTCTTCGGCGATCAGCCTTCTATATGGTCCAGCTTTCAGCCTTTTTATGGTCCAGGACACCTGGATGGGGTCAATTTGACGGCGAAAAATCTCCATGAGAAGCTTGGCCAATAGGGTGGAATATCCGCCCCAAAGCAGAACATCCCTGCCAGGGAGACGAGTGGGAAATGATCGCATTCAGAATTTCTGCCATGTTTTGCAATGGTTATTTTATGAATGGATCCCAGGTTATTTTATGAATGAATCGCCGTGGTCATTATGTGAATGAATCCCTGTGGCTCATTTATGAATGAATCCCTACAATGTTCTAGGATACTTTTTTGTAATGGTAACAAAAATGCTGGAGAGACCTGCTAAGAGTTCTTCGCTCACCCCTTCTTCAGGTTATTCTGCTGATGGGACATTTGGGACGGAGTGATATTGAAATCTTCCGCAAATGTCTAAGCATTGTTTTGGATTGGAACTGTAGGCCGGAAGAGTTTAATTTGAGGAGGGCGGAGGACCAAATTGCTAAACAGGTGGTGACCCAGAAATGTCATCCCGCCTTTAATTTAATCAGCATTTTGTTACTTTTAAAATAATAATAATAAGATAAGAATCATATCCCAAGAAACATCTGATCAAGACTGTTCCTGCCACCAGGCCAGGAACTTTTTCAAAGCCTGAGGGCCACCTTCACTTCTGGGCAACTTTTGAGGGGCCACATGTTAGTGTTGGGTGGAGCCACAGGCAAAGTGGGTGGAGCAATGGGTGCAAATTTTACCTCTGTAAAATAGACTAGAATCTACTCAATTTTCTATCTGGGCAAGCAAGAAGCAATTGCTGTTTTTATGATGTTTATATTAATGCTTTTAAAATGTAATTCACTTGAAGACCTCTGGGTAACAATAACTATCACGTCTAATTAATACTAATACTTTTAGTACTATACTATATTAATACTATGCCTGGATTGCTCTGGTCCATGGGGTCGCGAAGAGTCGGACACGGCTAAATGACTAAATAACATACTATACTATACTATACTATACTATACTATACTATACTATACTATACTGGTACCTTGGAAGCTGAATGCCTTAGCTCCCAAACAAATCAGCTCCCGAATGATCAAAATCTGGAAGTGAGTGTTCCAGTTTTCAAACGATTTTCGGAAGCCTAACGTCTGGCGTGGCTTCCGTGGCTTCTGATTGGCTGCAGGACACTCCTGCAGCCAATCGGAAGCCATGCTTTGGTTTTAGAACAGTTCCGGGAGTCGAACAGACTCCCAGAACGCATTCTGTTCGAGAACCAAATACGACTGTACAATACAATACAATACAATACAGCTGCTGTTGTATTACTGCTATTACTGCTAATAGGAATATACCGTATTTTTCACTCTATAAGACGCACCAAACCATAGGACGCACCTAGTTTTTGGAGGAGGAAAACAAGAAAAAAAATATTCTGAATCCCAGAAGCCAGAACAGCAAGAGGGATCTGGCTTCTGGGATAGCCGCGCAGCCTGCACTCGCTCCATAACACACACACACATTTCCCCTTACTTTTTAGGAGGGAAAAAGTGCGTCTTATAGAGCGAAAAATACGGTAAGTATCAGAGTTCAAGGACTGATTCCAGCCAGGAAAAGACACTCAGGGTGTGAGACAATGAGGGACGTGGCTTGGATCGAAGGCATGTGGCCTAGGGAGCATTCCAAGGAGGCCACATAGAGACAACTGGAGGGCCACTTTAGGTTCCTGGAGCAGAGGTTCATTCCTCTAGATCTTTTGCCTCTGCTAGAGATCAGAGCTGGTTGAGATCCCTGCAGCCTGTCATGAGAGCCCCTAAGTTGCTCTGATTCTCACCCGCTCCAAACTCCACTTAGGGGCAACAGAGAATTTGTTTCCCATTCCTGGTGCTTGAAGGAAAATTCAAGATGCCTGTCCCTTCGGGCAGAATTTGCCCTGATTTCCACAATGAACAGGATGCCACTTACGGAGGAGATCTGAGTAAACAACTGTATCATTATGATTAAAAATAAATAAATCATCCAGACATCCAGATCAGGAAAGGTAAAACAACTAGGCCAACTCCCACCTTCTTATTCTGTATTTTGTGGGAGGTTTTTTTCCTTCTTCTTCCTGGATGTTGGGACATCCTGTGACGTCAGCCCATCCTGAAAAGTGGGGAAACACTTAATGAGGCTTTTATTGCTTAACGACTTTGAGCACTTCAGGCTCCTCCCTTTTTCCTGGGAAAAGCAGCTCTGGACTTTGAATCTTTTCCAAAGGGCGTGCAATAAATCTAGTCAATTTGATAACTGTGAATAGCCATGCTGTATGGATTATTGAGCCTAGAAGAAAGCATAATTCCTAGCAACTCCACAAATGTGGCCCTCTGTGTCTCTCTGACTGGCACTCAGAACTCTCTCTCCAGCACTGGCCTATGTCCATGCTTCAGTTTTTGAAGTGGGATAATGTAGGGCTACCATACATCTGGAATTATCCCAGACATATCCAGGATTAGTCCTTCGAAAATAGCGCAGAATTTCAGGAAATTGGGGGGAAATGTCCGGTAAATCCCAGGTGTATGGCCGCTCATGTCGGAAGTGTTCATTTTTTGGCGAATTTACTGGGAAATGGCTCAAAATCTTCTCTCTCTTTTTTGGAGATTTTGAATAAAAAAGTTCAACAACTCTGCCAAAAAAACAAGATGTGCATTCAGAAACCTCTCGCAGTTTCTAAAGGAAACTGACAATTCTCTTGCCCTGCCCACTGTTGGCCCAGCCCCGGTCTGATGCTGGCATCACGTGTGGCCCCTGAAAGGTTACTTTGAAGGCAATGTGGCCCTCATATTGAAATGTGGTCCCTACATCTAGGGAAGTTGCACTGAGTGCAGGATGATGCAGCGCAATCGCTGGCAAAAGCGAGTCCTTGTTGTTGGATCACACTTTTGCTCAGGGATCGGAACTTTGGAACTCCCTGCCGATTGACACCAGGCAAGTTCTTTCACTGCATTCTTTTCGGCGCCTGCTAAAATCATTCTTGTTCAGCAAGCCTATTACTATTACTATTAGAAATATATTTATCTACACTCCACCTGACAAGGACTCAGGGCAGATAAAAATAAGTCTACTCCAATGTTTGGATAGTTGATGAGAGTTTTAATATATATTTTTAGCCTGTTGGCATTTTAACTTTCTGAAAGTCTTAAATTGTGGCTGCCGATTCTTCCTATCTTTTTTATAACTAACACACACACAGGGGGCGGGGGGAGAGAGATCTGTACCCATTACAAAGTATCTTTTTATAATATACAGAAATAAAACAGATACTTAATCTAAAAAAAGAACAGAGGCAGGAAGAATGAAAGAAAGAAAGAAAAAGAGAAAGAAAGAAAGAAAGAAAGAAAGAAAGGAAGGAAGGAAGGAAGGACGGTAGGAAGGAAGGAAGGAAGGAGAGAGATAAGGTTAAAAACAGATAAAAATACTTTCAGTTCTCTGTCCTGCAGTTAAAGAAAGTACAGTATTCAGTCATTAGCATCCAAACATTCTATATTTTATGAACCAATCTGGCTGCCAATTCTTCTTAGCGATAATAGCATTGTTTTATCTTCTTTGCAAACCACTGAGGGTTTCCATTTTAACAATCAATTGGTGTATAAATTTTACCAAATAAAATAAAATAAATAAACAGGCTCCCTTGGTGGGAGCCCTGGGCTTAAAGCACCTGTCTTCCCCCAAAGATTCCTGGAGCTTCACCTGTCGCAGAGCTACAAATCCCTGGGCATCCTGGGGGAATCCGCATGGGATCTGCAGCTCCCAGGATTCCTTGGGTGAAAGGGCAGTGGAGAGCCATTTGCATCAAATGTGCTTTAGATGTACGGTGCAATTGCTTCAGTTTTCCCAGCCTTTCCCAGGCAGCTTCCACACCCAAGGATGGGATAGAATGAGCGATAGGAAGGTGAGATTTCAGGACACGGCAGATTCCAACACGGCGGGTGCCGTTTTATCAACCCTGTGCTGCTGATGTGCCTTGCAAGGATAGCCCATAATTGCGGCTTTTGCCTGGCCCCACTTCTCCTTCTCGCCCTCCTACGCCCGCTCTGATTGGCTGGGAGGGAGCGGCATTCCATTCCAACGAAGGCCTGGCGACTGGTTCGGCAGATTTCGCTCCCGGCACCCGCCTCACTGGGGCTAGGCAGAGTGCCTGCCAAAATATAATTATCGTTAATCACCTGTGCTGGAGTGTGGGTGTTGCGACCTGGAGGGTCGGAAGGAAGGAAGGAAGGAAAGACAGGCAGATTGCAGGGCAGAAGGATGGATCCTGCAAACCGGTTGGCTTGCATTCCTAGGAGCAGCCACTGGAGGTCGCTGTGCAGGAAAGACGGGAGACCGTTGGGAAGGCAAGGCTCTGTGCAAACTCAGTGGTTGAACATTTCCTTTGCATGCCAGGGGGTGACCTGGGGAGACTTATGGAGGCCAGGTTAAGAGACTTAGAGGGCCGCATTCGACAACCTGGCCTGAAATTCCCTGACCCTGATCTAGATACCTATTTGAGGAGACAGTGTCAGATTTGGGCCATCATTTCGGGAACTTTCAATGGCCATAAAGAAACAAAGGAGGGTATGAAACTAATACAGGGAATATTGCCGCACATCAAAGTGCTGCAGGTTCCACGCTCTCACTCAGATTCTGTGTTTCCTTTTGGGAATCGGGCACAGCAAAGACTGTGGTGTCTTTATGATATATGGGTTATTCACACATATGTACAACCTGAACCTACGATGGAGGGGTTTACAGAATTAATACCCCCAAAAAGGTCCTTCTGTGTCGCCTAACTCCTCATTCTCTCCTCTAAGCTCTGTTGTGGGAGAGGGACCCCACCCATTTGCTGTCTCATACCAACTCCCCTTGATCCCTTTGTTCTCCTAATGACCCGTCACCCAGGGGATTAACAAACGAGGAAGGTAACCTGATTTAATACAATGTTAACACGTGCTGATTCCAGGGATTAGAAGTGCCTAGCACACAGTTTAGCACCTTAAGTCCTAAGACTTAATTAGATTCTAACACTAGCTAGAGCCAAGGATTATAGTCTGGCACTCACAAACTCATAACAATATGTTGGTTGCTCAAGGATCTTCCAGCCAGGAAGTGACTTCCACCACTGGAGACATCCATCTCCCTGCAGAATGATGCAACGTCAGGTCACCCTGAGATAACCCTGGTCACTATGAGTCGTCATTCCTTCCCCGTCCTCTTTCCAGCTCCAGCTAAAAACATTTTTGTTTCAACAGGCCTACCCAAACATGTTGGATGATGATTCATGTCAACATGTTTTTAATTTATTCTTGGTTACTTAATGTTCCAAATAGTTGTTCTTACTGTTTTTACTCATAATGTTATCATTTTATTCTCTTTGTGAACTGCACTGCGGGTTGGTTTTCTTTACGATCAAGTAGTCTGAAATGAATAAGATAAATAATCATCCCCTGCAATGTTAGTACAGTTGTCAGTGGTGTTAACAATGCCAAGGTGGCAGTTTCGAGACAGCTGCATATTCCAATCCTGGTCCAACTGCACTGGCTATCGATTAGTTTCCGGGCCCAATTCCAATTGCTGGTTTTGACCTATAAAGCCTTAAACGGCTCAGGACTGCAATACCTCAAGGACCACCTCTTTCAGTATGAACCTACCCAGACCCTGAGATCATCTTTTGAGGCCCTTCTTCATGTGTCTCCTCCTCAAGAGGTCAGGAGGGTGGCAACACGAGAACGGGGCCTTCTCTGCAGTGGCTCCCCGTCTGTGGAATGCTCTCCCCAGGGAAGTTCGTCTGGTGTCTTCATTATACACCTTTAGGTGCCAGGCAAAAACATTCCTTTTTAACCAGTCCTTTGCTTAACCAATCAACATCCTGGTTCCTTATCCCTCCTGCCTTTACAGCAGTAGCTACTTATATTCATGCAAGAAAGTCAGGAATGCATTTTTGCTTCAGTTATGTACACATAATTATGTACTATATTTTGTCACAAACAACTACATTTTATTACAAAGGGGAAGAGATCTATTTTAGTGATACTTAAGACAACAACCTGTGGTATACCTAAAGATTGGTGAGAATAAAAGCAGTTTTTTAATACTTACTGTTTCACTAAAGGACTTTCGACTTTGTGCGCTCATTTACCAAAGACGCGCCATGCCAGCGGCGGCGCTTGTCATTCACAATGGCGGCGCTTGTCAGACTCAACGATGGCACTTGTCATTCTCAATGGCACCGTGCACGCGAAATTACCGTATTTTTTCGCTCTATAGGACGCACTTTTCCCCCTACTAAAATTAAGGGGAAATGTGTGTGCATCCTATGGAGCGAATGCAGGCTCCTTGGCTTCAGCGATAGCAACGCGAAGCCTCCAAAGCGCAGAGGGAGCGCTCCCTCCGCGCTCCGGAGGCTTCGCGTTGCTTTTGCTGAAGCCTGGAGAGTGAGAGGGGTCTCCCGGCTTCAGCAAAAGGAACCCGAAGCCTCCGGAGCGCAGCGGGAACTCACGCTGCGCTCCAAAGGCTTCGGGTTCCTTTTGCTGAAGCCAGGAGAGCAAGACTCTCCCGGCTTCAGCAGAGAGGGAGAGCTGTGTGGCACCCCTTCAGCCAAGCGGGCGGAGAAATGGAAGGGGCTCCGTTTCTCCTGCCGCTTCGCTGAAGGGGCACTGAGCAGAGAGGGGGAGAATTTTTTTTCTTGTTTTCCCGCTGTAAAACAAGGTGCGTCCTATGGTCGGGTGCGTCCTATAGAGCGAAAAATACGGTAACTAAGTTTGGGGGCCCTGGGCGGATCTTTGCACCCTGGCGGCACAGCCCTGTGTGAAACGCTTTTAAAAATGGCTCATGCGCTAAATATTATGCATTGTATAAAGTATGGGGTATCTTTGGGTTCCCAGATATTGCTGGAACAGATCTCCTATTTCCCCTGGCATTCTGAGCTACATCTGGAGGCCCCAAGCTTCCCCACACCTGGGGAATATGTCCTGTCCATGAATTGGGGAGGGATGCTTATCGATGACGCACTTCCGTTTTCCCTCTAGGATGCAAGGGAGGAGGAACCAAAGGAGGAGACATCATGGGCGGCGACCCCTCTGAGCTGGAGTGGGCCATCCAGACACTGTCGAAGAACTACGATAAGTACGCCGGCAAAGGGTGCTGTTGCAGCAAGAAGCGGGGGATCAGCCAGGGTGGCTTCCGGAAGATGCTCAAGCATGAACTCAACCACATGTTGACGGTGAGATGAAGGATGGAGGGAGATTCAGAGGGCGCTGCTACCTATTGCCAGATCAAACCGTCAGTCCATCTAGCCAGTGCTGGATTTACGTACGAGCTAAACAAGCTATAGCTTAGGGCCCCACTCTCTTGCCCCCCCAATTCACTATTAATATAAAGGTAAAGGTAAAGAGGCCCCTGACCATTAGGTCCAGTCATGACTGACTCGGGTTGTGGCGCTCATCTCGCTTTATTGGCCGAGGGAGCCGGCGTACAGCTTCCGGGTCATGTGGCCAGAGCAGCTCACGGAAACGCCGTTTACCTTCCCACCAGAGCAGTACGTATTTATCTACTTGCACTTTGATGTGCTTTCAAACTGCTAGGTTGGCAGGAGCAGGGACCGAGCAACGGGAGCTCACCCCGTCACGGGGATTTGAACTGCTGACCTTCTGATCGGCAAGTCCTAGGCTCTGTGGTTTAACCCACAGCGCCACCTGTGTCCCTACTATTAATATACTTCTTCTTAATTGTATTTCAGTTCAACAATTGCTTTGATAAAATATGTATTTTGTTATGTGCAAATGGCTTTAGATACCTATTAGGTCCACAAATTACCATATAGCATATATTCAACACACAAAAACAGTGACAATTTATTGTTGACAAAGGACAGCTGGACGTATAAAGTGTCAGGAGGTCAGCCTACACTCGAGTAGGACACATGCCCAACTGGCTTGTTCTCTCCCTCCTGGTCTTTTGTTCGGGAGCTTCAAAAGCTTTCTTCAGCCTGAACATCACAGCGACCGATGCCAACCGACACACTTAGGGATCCGCAGAGTCTTCGTAGCTTGTGTAACAGACCTCAGCAACTCAGCATTTTGGCTAATCTACTTTATTACATATAAACACACACGGAGCACTACAACATGGCTCCTTTTCTCTCCACCATCAGACAGCAAAGAGAAAGAACAAAGGACAATAGTCCCACTTCACTGCACACAGTAACACAAACATCCTGTCTCCGTCACTTCCCACTCTGTGGAATGAAAACATACACAGTCATGTGATAGACAACAATCCCATGACTGCAGATACAGGGAATGAATCTTCAACATTACCTTCAGTAGCTTAGGGCCTCATCAAACCTAAATCCGGCCCTGCGTCTAGCCCAGGTTTTCCGACACGGGTTGGCAATGACTCTCTCTCAGCACCAGCAGTGTGCGGTGAAATTTTGTGTAGGGGGACAGATAGGGCTAGAGGCGCCAGCTTGTGAGGGGGTGACATTATGATGTCCCAACCTCGCACATGTGAGCATCATGCTTCCTTCCTGAAGCTGGGCAGAAGATTCTTGGGCTTTGGGAAGGAGGCACCAGGGGAATATCAAAGGGACTAGCCTAGTCCCCTTAGTCCATTGACCGCATGCCGCTGGTCAGCATAGTAACAATTTGATCTGCAAGTTGATTGGAAAGTGAGTGCAATATTTAGTCCAAGTGGCACTTAGAGGCTGGAATGTGGGGGGCGACAGAAAGCCAGGCAGCCTCCACTCTAGATGGGAAACCAACGAGAAGCAAGAATCGGGCATTTTCCCCAGTGGCAAGCAGGTCAGCACTGAGATGGGGAGAAATGATAGGAATAGCCTTTCATGTTGCCGCAGCAAGCCAGGCAGGACTTGAATGGGGAAGCCTTAAAGGGGTACTTAGATGGAAAGCAATGATAAGCAATAGAACGGTCACAAAAAGAATAACCTGGACTATTTCACACTTAGGCTGTGTTGCAAACTAAGGATTCAGCTACATTACTGAAACAACGTTTTGAATGCGTTATCAACATGCAACACAAGATGGCGCTGGAGAGCAAAAAAAATTCTATGCGATCTTACATAGCGATTTTTTTTCTTATAACGATTCAATTTCTGAATTACTTATAGTGATTTTTTCCTGCGTGTAGGTCCAACCCTAAGATGTGAGTAGCAACAAGCGGTAGCATAGCATCAAAAGGCAATAGTACGAAAAGTAGTCTGAAGGGGGACTATTGAACCCTTGGACTAGGTGATGAATGGAGACGTGGGCAGTGAAAAGCTATTGCATGGTGCTTCTAAATGAAATAAGTTAGGTGGTGAGAAGAGGGTCTATTGCACTCCTTGGCTAGGAGTCAAGCTCACCTGTGACCCACCGATTAAAGGGAGCAATTCGACTTTCCATATCCACTTTTGCAGAAAGGTGTCCCAAGTGTGTCTTGAGACGACATCTAGTAAGGCGGACCTCTGCTTCCCCATGTGGTGGAAGTGTCTACGCTCTTAGGCTCCAGGTCTTCCAGTCCCACTTTTCTGACTCATTTCATTCCCCCTCTTCCCCCATCCAGGACACCAAGAACAAGCAAGCCGCCAACAAACTGATCTGTGACCTGGATGAGAATCAGGACGGACTCATCAGCTTCCACGAGTACTGGAACCTGATTGGCGGCATCGCCAGCCCAATCTCCTGCCTGATCCGACAGCAGGAGGAGAGCGTGAAGTTCACCAAGTAGAGAGAGAGAGAGAGAGAGAACGTCAGCTGCTCACACCACCCCGAGCCCCTTCTATCTCTCCCCCCACATTCCGACTCCCTGCCTTAACCTTGCCGTCATTCCAGCTCCCCCTGCTGGCTGGGCTGCACATCACACGGCCCATCGCCATTTGGGCCTGAAAGCTGAACTCTACCATTCCTTTGGAAAATATCCGTCCACTTATTTAATTCTTTTCGACACCTGCAATTGGGGTATCGCGTCTGGGAGGGTGACGGGTGGTTGTGGGGAGGGGGTGGCCCTGTTCCGTGGGGATCCAGCCGGCTGTGTCAGACTGTGAAGAGCGTTGCAATAAAGCCTTGAGTCGGATCAGAGTGTCAGAGTCATGCGATTGCCTCTCCCTTTTGGGGGTAACCTTTCTCGAGCAAGCTTCCGGTGCTCATTGAGGACACTGAATTCCCAATGAAACTTTTCTAGTTGCTGCATTCTACTCCTGGGTGCTCCTATGCCAGGCAGACCCGAAGAGCCTATCCCTGCCCTTTGTCACCAGCTGACATATGCAGTCCCTCAACCTGGAGGCTCCATGTAGCTAGTCTTCCAATGAGCTCCTCTTCCAATGAGAGCCAGTGTGGTGTAGTGGTTAAGAGCGGTAGACTCGTAATCTGGGGAACCGGGTTCGCGTCTCCGCTCCTCCACATGCAGCTGCTGGGTGACCTTGGGCCAGTCACACTTCTCTGAAGTCTCTCAGCCCCACTCACCTCACAGAGTGTTTGTTGTGGGGGAGGAAGGGAAAGGAGAATGTTAGCCGCTTTGAGACTCCTTTGGGATATCAAATCCAAACTCCTCCTCCTCCTCCTCTTCCTCCTCCTCCTCCTCCTCCTCTTCTTCTTCTTCTTCTTCTTCTTCTTCTTCTTCTTCTTCTTCTTCCCCCATACATTTCCCTGGCTCTCTCTCTCTTAAATAGAGCCATCTGTGATCATGGCGATCGGCAACAGAGTGCGTTGGAGCCGTGGGCAGACTCAAGCCTCCCCCTGAAACAGCCAGGGAATTCAGGGGGACGAGTTCCCATGCTCTGCTGGACCCCTAGCACCCCCACTCCTCCATGGGGGGGGTTTCCGGGGGGCGCCTAGCCCTGGCGCTCTCCCCCAAGGCTCTATTTGCCCTGAACCGTCTCGCCCTTAAGCGGACGACACAGAGCTCACCGCCATTAGCCTCCGCAGCGAACCAGAAGTCCCAGCGACCAGCACATCTTGTGCCAATGAGTCCCGCAGACTAACCATGGGTTGGGTGAAGCATTTTCTTCTGTCTGACTTGGCAGAAGTCAGAGCATCTTCATCAAGTGAATCCAAGTTCTTGTAGTATGAAAGCAGGTGCCGGGGGGAGAAATCTCTACAAACCTATCTCTCTTGTTGCGTTCTGAAGGCAAAGGAAGGACTGGACCCTGATTAATACAATAGACACGAGGCTTGACCAGCAAGACCCTGGGAGAAAGTGTGCATCCCACTCCCTGGCCCAGGTAGTTTTTATTAACAAAAGAACTTTAACACAGCGTTTGTAAGAACCAATCAGATTTCCTCTGAGCATTTCAAAAAATCCCCAGGTGGGGACAAAGTCAGATCGGAGGAAGCCTCTTAACGACAAAGAACTATTTACTATTTGAGCATGCATACATGTTTAGGCTAAATAAACAGGAACCAAGTAAGAATGCATTTAGCAAACCCTGAACGTAATATCCCATAGGAAAGGAAAGACGAGCATTTTACCACCTCCATGTGAACTCTGTTCCTGGCCCAAAGACCTACCTAAAGATTAACAAAAGCTACATCAAAGTTAACAGATTGAGGTTGAATCCTGACAAGACAGAAGTACTGTTTTGGGGGGACAGGAGGCGGGCAGGTGTGGAGGATTCCCTGGTCCTGAATGGGGTAACTGTGCCCCTGAAGGACCAGGTGCGCAACCTGGGAGTCATTTTGGACTCACAGCTGTCCATGGAGGCACAGGTCAAATCTGTGTCCAGGGCAGCTGTTATCAGCTCCATCTGGTACGCAGGCTGAGACCCTGTCTGCCCGTGGACTGCCTAGCCAGAGTGGTGCATGCTCTGGTTATCTCCCGCTTGGACTACTGCAATGCGCTCTACGTGGGGCTACCTTTGAGGTGACCCGGAAACTACAACTAATCCAGAACACGGCAGCTAGACTGATGACTGGGAGCAGCCGCCAAGACCATATAACACCGATCTTGAAAGACCTACACTGGCTCACAGTACATTTCCGAGCACAATTCAAAGTGTTGGTGCTGACCTTTAAAGCCCTAAACGGCCTTGGTCCAGTATATCTGAAAGAGCGTCTCCACCCCCATCGCTCTACCCAGACACTGAGGTCCAGCGCTGAGGGCCTTCTGGCGGTTCCCTCACTGCGAGAAGCCAAGTTACAGGGAACCAGGCAGAGGGCCTTCTCGGTAGTGGCGCCTTCCCTGTGGAACGCCCTCCCACAAGATGCCAAAGAGAACAACAACTACCAGACTTTTAGAAGACATCTGAAGGCAGCCCTGTTTAGGGAAGCTTTTAATGTTTGATGTATTACAGTATTTTAATATTGTGTTGGAAGCCGCCCTGAGTGGCTGGGGAAGCCCAGCCAGATGGGCGGAGTATAAATAATAAATTATTATTATTATTACCTCCTTATCTTTATGGCCCAGGATGCCTGGTAAGCAACTGATCTGTGTTAGAATGCTTCGCACGTGACTGTCAGGCGTAGAGAAAACAGGGCAGAGATGCAGAGGCTTATGGGATCGATCAGAAATCATGTCAGTGACCCAAACCCAGTCAAAGCGATGCTTTCACCACTGACACAATGGCTTGCTTCATTTTTCATAATTCCTCATAGCAACCCTAAAAGGTAAAGGTAAAGGGACTCCTGATCATTAGATCCAGTCGTGGCCGACTCTGGGGTTGCGGCGCTCATCTCGCTTTATTGGCCAAGGGAGCCGCTTTATTGGCCAAGGGAGCTTCCGGGTCCTGTGGCCAGCATGACTAAGCCGCTTCTGGCGAACCAGAGCAGCGCACGGAAACACCGTTTACCTTCCCGCCGGACTGGTACCTATTTATCTACTTGTACTGGTGTGCTTTCGAACTGCTAGGTTGGCAGGATCAGGGACCGAGCAATGGGAGCTCACCCCGTAGCGGGGATTCGAACCGCCAACCTTCTGATCGGCGAGTCTGAGGCTCTGTGGTTTAACCCACAGTGCCACCTGCGCCCCTATGGCAACCCTACATGACCACTACACTCTTTGTTGATTTGTAAACTGTAGGGGAGATCCAGAGAAACTTGAAAACCAGATTGGCCTAGAGGTTTTGTCTGTGTATTCATGCCGGTCTGTTTTCCTGAAGGGAGTCGCAAGGAGTCCATGCCTTGGGCCCTGCAAACACACTCCCCATGTGAAGGCGCACACTCCCTTTAAATTGGGCCCCTGCCGTCTCACCTCACCCCTTATAAGAAAGAATAAAGTCAGATCAGCCTCTCCCTCCTGCTTTGTCTCGGGAGCACACAATTTTTTTTTCCTTCCCAAAAGGACATGGGCAGATATCAGGATGTTGGTGGTTTATAGCCAATTAACTTATAAGGATGTGGGAAGAAATTCCATTCAGTTTGCGGTTGAACCTGATTCGCACTTTGAAATTCACATTGAACCAAGGTGGAGGTTTGTGCAGTTCTGCGCCCTGAGCACCAGAGGGCAGCAGGGAGTACAGTGGCCTCTCTAATGAATAGTTACAGGTAGGTAGCCGTGTTGGCCAGCCAAAGTCAAAACAAAATTTAAAAATTCCTTCCAGTAGCACCTTAGAGACCAACTAAGTTTGTTATTGGTATGAGCTTTCGTGCCACCAAGCAAGCAACAGGCAGCAGCTTCTCGGAGCAAAGGCTTTTATTCGAATTGTTGCAACTGGCCGAGAGATTGATTGATATGTCGTAGTATTTTCATCCTCCTGCAAGTCCTAGGATCAGTATTTCCTGGTCCCACCCACTCACCTCTCTCTTACCCACACCCAGAAACATGACCGTATACCCCAAATTTCACTTTATATTCCCCAATTCCCCCTCCTTAAGCTTCTTGGATATCTCCGTCATCAGTTTCCAGTACGACGTAAATTCCAGCTCCCCGTCACTGTCGGTCCCCAAGCTTCTCATCTTCTCTTCGAGATCGCCAGCATCCTACAGAAGAGGCAAGAGGAACAGAAAGCTCAGAAACAGTCAGTGAGAGATTGTCTCTCTCTGGATGGATTTAACTGAATAAGAATAAGAATTTTATTATTTACGTATTCCCTGCCCGTCTGGCTGGGTTGCCCCAGCTGCCAACACATATCAAAACATAATAAAACATCGAACATTAAAAACATCCCGATACAGGGCTGCTTTCAGATGTCCTCTAAAAGGCCCTCTGCCTGGTTCTCAGAGTAGACCTACTGAAATGAATGAGCTTAAGTTAATCTTCAGTGGGTCTCCTCTAAGTTAGGATGAGCATTGGCTACCACCCTATGAAAGTGCTTGCACAATTATTCCTGCCACTTTCCACGTTCGTGAGGCATGTGCGACAAAAATGGCAAGAGACTGAGGTATTGGCAGACTCAGGGATACCCCAAGGTTTGCAGAACAACAACCAAAAGCCCTGAAAACACCCCATGAGGACTGAGCATGCTCCGTGGCGATGGGATGCTGGCTGACCGTATAGAAGGGAAAGTTGTGGAATTGGAATGGAATATCTTTCAGAAGGGCGTGGCTGGCTGGCTGGCTGGCTGGCAGGAGCAGCAAACAGGAGCAGTTCCCACTGCTGCCATTTTGTCGCAGGAGCCATTTGTAAGATCATGCAAGACATGGAGAAAAAGGAGAGGGAATTATTTACCCTCTCTCTTCTCCTCCTCCTCGAGCTCAGCATCTGAGCATCCTATTCTCCGCCCACTGTTGCCTCTGGCCCCGCCCACCACAGTGATTTTGTTGTTGTTGTTTAGTCGTTTAGTTGTGTCTGACTCTTCGTGACCCCCTGGACCAGAACACCCCAGGCACTCCTGTCTTCCACAGCCTCCCGCAGTTTGGTCAAACTCATGCTGGTAGTTTCAAGAACACTGTCGAACCACCTCGACCTCTGTCATCCCCTTCTCCTTGTGCCCTCCATCTTTCCCAACATCAGGGTCTTTTCCAGGGAGTCTTCTCTTCTTATGAGGTGGCCAAAGTACTGGAGCCTCATCTTCAGGCTCTGTCCTTCCAGTGAGCACCCAGGGCTGATTTCCCTAAGAATGGATAGGTTTGATTTTCTTGCAGTCCATGGGACTCTCAAGAGTCTCCTCCAGCACCATAATTCAAAAGCATCAATTCTTCGGTGATCAGCCTTCTTTATGGTCCAGCTCTCACTTCCATACATCACTACTGGGAAAACCATAGATCTAACTATACGGACCTTTGTTGGCAAGGTGATGTCTCTGCTTTTTAAGATGCTGTCTAGGTTTGTCGTTGCTTTTCTCCCAAGAAGCAGGCATCTTTTAATTTTGTGACTGCTGTGACAGTGATACAGCCCCCCAAAAGTTGACTGGAAGGAAATGTGGCCCTAATTCAGAAAAAAGGTTCCCTGGTCTACAAAGCTTCTGAAATGAGAAGTCAACGGTCCCCATCTTTTTCTTTGTCTTAAACAGCAAAATACCTTTGCTTGCACTGCTTTTGACCTAAAAAATAGCCTCCCTTCGCCCTCCTGCCCTCTGCCCTTGGACCCCACTCTACCTTCATGAAGTTAGGGAGCTGCTTGTTCACAAGCGCCTTGAACTGGCCGGCCGTCAGTGTCTCCTTCTTGCCCTCGGCGGCCGTATGGACCAATAAGATGCTGACAATTTTATCGATGGCCATCTTCATCTCTGACACATCCTCACTGGCCATCTTGTGACTGAGCACTGTTGGGCTTCTTCCTTCCTCCCTCGATGAGGCTATCGGTCAAGGGATGGGGATTGTGTGTGGGTGACCCTGTTGTGTAAGACAGGCTCTGAGAACAGAGGGAGGGAATGCGAGGGAAGAGAAGAAGAGGGGAAAATGCAGGGAGAGCAGCAAAATGCAGGGGCGGCGAGTTACTGGCTGCTTTTGTGGGATCACAGGATTGCTGAGTTGGAAAGGTTAATCTAGCCCAAACGTCTGCGAACACAGGAATCAGAGCTTTTGACAGCTTTTCAGAAGAATTTGCCACATTCCCCCACACACATAAAGGTAAAGGGACCCCTGACCATTCGGTCCAGTCATGACCGACTCTGCGGTTGCGGCGCTCATCTCACTTTACAGGCCGAGGGAGCCGGCGTACAGCTTCCGGATCATGTGGCTAGCATGACTAAGCCGCTTCTGGCAAACCAGAGCAGCACATGGAAATGCCGTTTACCTTCCCGCCCGAGCGGTACCTATTTATCTACTTGCACTGCCGTGCTTTCGAACTGCTAGGTTGGCAGGAGCAGGGACTGAGCAACGGGAGCTCACCCCGCCGCGGGGATTCGAACCGCCGACCTTCTGATCGGCAAGTCCTAGGCTCTGTGGTTTAACCCACAGCGCCACCCACATCCCTTCACACACACATGCACACTCCCTATAGCAAAGCAGGGGAGATCAGCCTTTGTCACAAGCTGAAATCTTGCCCCCTCCCCTCCAAAAGGGTTGCCACTTACCCCAAAGATGGTCACTTGCAAGCTTTGAATACCAGCGAGGGAGCAATGTGTTGGTTCTCATACAGATGAGGGCAGCTTGAATCAGAAGGAGAGCGAAGGGTGTTTTGTGTGTTCAAAGGTTCTGGGCCAACTGCCTTTTTCCTTGCCAACAGCCATAAAGCCCAACATCCACGCTGCCAGGCTAGCCACACACACACACACACACACACACACACACCATTTATTTGTGTGCCAGTTTAGGGACCCAACCAAGCAAGTGAGAGGGGGCCCCAGCAACAAGAGCACAGGATCTCTTGTGTGCAAAGGCTGGTCATCGCCCACGTTTCAAAAATCTTAAATTCTCGCTGTTAGTTAAAAAACCAGAAGCTTTCTCGTCAGGTATTTTGGGACAAGAGCTGCCAAAAGAAAAACAGACATTATTTATGTATGCCACAACAGCAGCAAGAATGTTAATAGCACAAAACTGGAAGACTGGAGAAGTACCATCCAAAGAGCAACGGCAAGAAAAGTTGATGAACTATGCAGAATTCGCAAAATTAACAGACAAGTTGCGTGAAAAGGACAATAGTGACTTTGAAAAAGAATGGGAACCCTTTACAGCATATTTGCAGAAACAACAAAAAACACGGACTCACTGGCAGGATTTAAATAAACATTTACGACTTTATTTACAGAGAGCAAGAAATAGAACAATGGGAAAACGTAGTATTATATACAAATAGTAGATTGTATCATTTGATGTATAAATGATACATACAACAATAAATAAACCAGAAATGGAGGTTGAGGGAAGTCAACAGGGAGGGGGGAAATTGGAAAATGAATGTATAGTAATGATGATGGATATTTGTTGCAAGAAAGAAAATCAATAATATTTTTTTTTAAAAAAAAAAACATTCTCGCTGTTAATTCTTCTTATCCATAACTTTATAGTTTCAGCTTTTTCGTAAACTGCTTTGAGGGAAAGGCTTTCCTTTCTTTCTTTTTGCAATCAAGTGGTGTACAATTTATTTATTTTTTGGAAGAAAGTCAGTAAATAGTTCCAATCCTCTGAACATTGGCCAGCTGCCAGGGGCTGAAGTGATTTGGACTCCAGGCATGGCTGAAGTTCCACAGCTACCCTGTCCCTATTCTGGGGAATCAGAGAGAAAATATTTTAAGATCCTGGAAACCTATCAAGGACAAAAGCTCCCCAAACTACTGACTGAAGGCTAAGTTGTTGGGTTTTGTTGTTTTTTAGGTGGTGTAAAATATGCTTTTTAAAAAAAAAAATGAATCCAATACACCCTGACTGCTCTTTCTATCCACAGACCGTCCAAGTGTCCCTATTTTCCAGGGACATCCCTGATTTAGAGAAGCCGTCCTGTTTTCTGATTTGATCCCAGAATGTCCCGCTTTTCCTTAGGACGTCCCTATTTTCATTGGAGAATTGTTGGAGGGTATGGAGTTATCTTATCCCCAAAGCCAAGGAGATAAGTAACTATACAACCTGTAGAAGACATCAGAAGGCAACCCTGTATAGGGAAGTTTTTTTAAGTTTGACGTTTTATTATGTTTTTTATATATGTCGGAAGCCGCCCAGAGTGGCTGGGGCAACCCAATCAGATGGGTGGGGTATAATTAGTAAAGTTACCTTTATGGAATGGGATGCCCCTATTTTCATTATTAATTTTAATTGGAAATTTTATTTACAACGTAACATAACCCCCCCACCCCCCAATACAGAAACACAATAAACATAACATACAACAATACAAACAACCAAATAAAAGACTTCCTTTATCCTGTACCTGGCCTCGTTATTTACTTCTTATAAGCTGTTTCCTTTATGAATAATTATTTTTTTAAAATGATATTTATTAAAATTTCAAAAGAAAAAGATTACATTGATAAAAAAAAATAGCAATAGAAAAAAGAAAAATACAAAGTACAAAAAAGAAAAAACAGTTAAAAACAATTCCATCTTTTCATCACTTCTCTTACATTTACTTATTTCCCGGACCTCCTCATACCTCCCTTTTTTGTATTCCAATTCAATTTGTTAGTCCAGCAAATCCTTTCCCTCCTTTTTAATCCTGATCTTTAATCTTACTATATTATAACATTAAGTTTTTACGTATTGAAAACCAAATTTTCCATATTCTTTTATGCCATTACAGCTAGAAACCACTTAACTTCAATCCAACATCATTCTAACATTCATTAATTTTACAATATTTCTGTAAGTAGTCTTTAAATTTCTTCCAATCTTCTTCCACCGACTCTTCTCCCTGGTCTCGGATTCTACCAGTCATTTCCGCCAATTCCATGTAGTCCATCATTTTCATCTGCCATTCCTCCAGTGTGGGTAGATCTTTTGTCTTCCAATGCTTTGCAATAAGTATTCTTGCTGCTGTTGTAGCATACATAAAGAAAGTTCTGTCCTTCTTTAACACCGATTATTCGACTATGCCCAGGAGGAAGGCCTCTGGTTTCTTCAAGAAGGTATATTTAAATACCTTTTTAATTCATTATAAATCATCTCCCAGAAAACCTTAATCCTTGGGCACGTCCACCAAAGGTGAAAAAATGTACCTTCAGTTTCTTTACATTTCCAACATTTATTATCGGGCAAATGGTAGATTTTGCAAGCTTGACTGGGGTTATGTACCACCTGTATATCATTTTCATAATATTCTCTCTTAAGGCATTACATGCCGTAAACTTCATACCTGTGGTCCATAACTGTTCCCAGTCAGCCATCATTATGTTTCCTTTATGAATAATTATTAAGATTTTCCTAATTATAACTTAAACATCCACAAAGTCTCCTGCAGACATTAATATAAACAAGTCCAGGTATGTATTTTAGGGCACTGTTTTGTCAAGTATTCTCTGCATTTCCCCCATGCTTTTTGAAACTCTTGCCTAGTGTGATCTCTAATTGCCTCTGCTAATCCAGCCAGTTCAATATACTCTTAACGGTTTGTCTTGCCATTCCCTTTTTGTTGGCACAATTTCTTTTTTCCAGTTTTTAGCAATTAGGATCCATGCCGCTCCTGTGGCATAGAGGAATATTTTCTGATCTCTTGCTATACCTGTGTCTGTTTATCCCTAGTAGAAAAGCTTCTGTATTTTTCATAAAGTTATACTTAAACATTTTTTTAAGCTCATCATACACTATATTCCAGAAGCTTTTGATTTTCTCACAGGTCCACCAAACATGTATAAGTGTCCTCTCTGTTTTACCACACCTCCAGCACAGATTTGTTTTTGTCTTATACATTTTAGCTATTTTTATCGGAGAATGGTTGGAGGGTAGGCAGCCATACTTTTCACCTTGCACTCTGTCACGGAGCGATACTCCGTCTCTCCTGCAAGAATTACAAGATTCTCTGATTTTGCAACTTTATGGCTTTCTTCATTGCTCCCGGATTCCAGTGTCAAGTGAGTTGCAGAGATTAACCTGGAGGAACGCCCCTGGAACAAAGAGCAGGGAGGGAATTTTTCTCTTTCAAAGGAAGTTGGAGCCAGCCTCATGGTACAGCTGCTGGGTGAGAGGTTTGAGGCGCCCAATCTCCTCTAGCCTTCCTCTAGCAAACGCTGACGAGACAGACAGACAGGGAGACGGGTGCAGGAGTCTTTGGCCGGCGTAACGCACACCGCACAAACCGCCGTTCTACAAGGTAAGGAAACTTCCAGGAGGTGGCAGCCCATTTGCTTATCAGGTAGGTGGGGAAAGGCTTCCTTTAGAGGACCCTATGACAAAATGCTAGGGACACAAGTGGCGCTGTAGTCTAAACCACAGAGCCTAGGGCTTGCCGATCAGAAGGTGGGCAGTTCAAATCCCCGCACGTTTCCGTGCGCTGCTCTGGTTCGCCAGAAGCGGCTTAGTCATGCTGGCCACATGACCCGGAAGCTGTCTGCAGACAAACACTGGCTCCCTCGGACTGTAAAGCAAGATGAGCGCGCAACCCAGAGTTGTCCGCGACTGGACCTAATGGTCAGGGGTCCCTTTACCTTTACCTTTATGACAAAATGCTAGTCTTCTTTCCATTTAGTACATAGCTAGGTACCTCCTGAGCAGTAGGATGTGCCTCCCTAGGCTTTGGAGGAGCAAACACACATAGTTGGATCTCTCCACAGCTAAAGTCCAACTGATCTCTGTCTGATAATACTGATGGGATCAGGGCTGGATTTAGGTTCAATGAGGCCCTAAGCTACAGTAGGTAATGGGGCCCTTTATATGTCCAGCTGTCCTTTGTCAACAACAAATTGTCAATAACTGTTTTTTTGTGTTGAATATACAGTGGTACCTCGGGTTAAACACTTAATTCGTTCCGGAGGTCTGTTCTTAACCTGAAACGGTTCTTAACCTGAAGCACCACTTTAGCTAATGGGGCCTCCTGCTGCTGCCACACCACCGGAGCATGATTTCTGTTCTCATCCTGAAGCAAAGTTCTTAACCCGAGGTTTTTAAAGATGCAGTTGGAGGGCTATCTCTCATGGATGCTTTAGCTGAGATTCCTTACTCTCTATCTCCTGCAGGAAGAATGAGAAAGCCCATTCTGCTTTATTTGTTTGTTTCGCAAAAATTTATTCACCACTTGACTGTTAAAAAAAGAAGTCAAAGTGGTTTACAAAAAAAAAAATCACCAATAATAATTAACGGCGATAATTTAAAACTTCAACAAATTAAACCCAGGTCAAAATTTGCACCTACTTTCTTAACATGTAGGTAGGCTTGTCAAAAGATCAGCATGATTTCAGCAGGTGCCAAAAACAGAATTCAGAGATAGCAATAGGCACACTAAAATATTGATTTCTTCCAAAGATGGAATGGGTCTTGTGGCGCCACTTGCCTGCCGTGGGGCAAGGCGATCTCTCGGGTGAACTTGTCCCAAGTTGTTAAGGGCTTTATTTACTAACAGCAACACCTTGAACTTGTCCCAGCTTGTAGCAAATCAGCAGCCAGTGCAGTTGCCTTTGAGCACAGGATATTCTGATTTTGCAACGGCCTTGGTCTCTGACTTGCTTCCTGATCCCAGTGCCAGGTGGGCCGTGCAATGCTATTCAGAGGAAAAGTCCCGAAGGGAGTGTCTGGGGAAAGGGGGGGTGGGAGGGAATGTTCCTCTTTAAAAGGAAATGGGAGCCGGCCTCGTGACGTAGGTACCTAAACTGGAGCTGGGAGGTGCCTAATCTCATAGAACCCCCCACTCTGACAAAGCACTGGGGGAACAGGACTGAGACAGACAGACAGACCCAGATTTCTTTGGCCAACACGCCACACACTCGGCAATTCTGCGAGGTAAGGAATGTTCAACATGCCGCTGTCTGTTTGCTTATCGGACGGTCCGGAAAGGGTGAAATGCAAAACTTTCTTTCAAACTCTGAGCTAAAGGACGTGCCTCTGCAGGCCATTGTCCCGCTGGCATGCCAAAGAAATGACTCCACAGAAGGGAAAACATCTGGTATAAAAGAGGCGGGAGGGAGGGGGAAGGAATCGGGAATGAAGAACTCAGATCTGGTGTTTGGGGAAGGGTCTTGCCAAGCCAGGGACGCGGGTGGCGCTGTGGGTTAAACCACAGAGCCTAGGACTTGCCGATCAGAAGGTTGGCGGTTTGAATCCCCGCCACGGGGTGAGCTCCCGTTGCTCGGTCCCTGCTCCTGCCAACCTAGCAGTTCCAAAGCACGTCAAAGTGCAAGTAGATAAATAGGTACCGCTCTGGCAGGAAGGTAAACGGCATTTCTGTGCGCTGCTCTGGTTCGCCAGAGGCGGCTTAGTCATGCTGGCCACATGACCCGGAAGCTGTACGCCGCCTCCCTCGGCCAATAAAGCGAGATGAGTGCCGCAACCCCAGAGTCGGTCACGACTGGACCTAATGGTCAGGGGTCCCTTTACCTTGCCAAGCCACTAGGTCTTGACCTGAGCTGGGCTGACGCCAGTCTCATATAATTGCCTCATTGGTATTCCCTAGGCCCACCAAGGTGAGTTAAGTTGACACAAGGCAAAGGATTCCCCACTAACTCATCTCTGTCTGACATTGGTCTGTCTAGCTCAGTGAGCCCTACATGGGCTGGCAGCTGCACTCCAGGGTCTCTGGAAGTTAGTCTCGCTCCCTCTCCCAGCCCTGCCTGGAGATTCTGGGGATCCAACCTTCCACACGGGAAGGATGTGATCTGCAAATTAGCCACAGCCACCTTGCAGGGCTGTTGTACAGATAAAACGAGGAGCGGAGAACCAGGAACACCATTTTGAGCTCCTTGGAGGAAAAGGTGGTATGTATATACAGTTGTATCTTGGAAGTCGAACGGAATCCCTTCCGGAAGTCCGTTCGACTTCCAAAACGTTCGGAAACCAAAGCGCAGCTTCTGATTGGCTGTAGGAAGCTCCTGCAGCCAATCGGAAACCATGGAAGCCATGCCAGATGTTAGGCTTCTGAAAATTGTTCGAAAACTGGAACACTCACTTCCAGCCAATTTGTTTGGGAGCTAAGGCGTTTGAGATACGAGCTACGACTGTACATTTAATAAAAAGAAAAGAAAATTGCCCTATTGATAAAGTAAGGCGCCAGTCCTCATGGTTGTGAAGAAAGGGCTGGATAAGATAGGAACAGAGCAAGCTGCCAAATACTTGAGTCAGGGCATTAGTGCTGTCCACACTGACTGGGAGAGGCTCTTGGAAATTTCAGGCAGGATTCGCTCTCGTGCCTACTTGGAGATTCAAGGAGTTGAATCTAGACCCTTCTGCGTGCAAAACACGTGATTCACCACTAGGCTGCGCTCTTTCCACTTCTCCACTTTGGTTAAGAGCATCGAAAGTGCTCTCAGCTGATGGGAAAAGACCCGCCAAAGAAATTTAAAAATATCTTTATGTATGCGACAACGGTTCAAATGCTGTTGAACAGCTCTTACTGTCAAAGAGTCTTAATAGCACAAGGATGGAAGATTGAGGAAATCCTGATGAAAGAACTGTGGCAAGAAAAATTGATGGATTATGCGGAATTGGCAAAAGTGACACACACACTAGTGATAAGGATAACTGTGACTTCAGAGATGAATGGGAACCTTTTATGAAATATTTGAAGAAACAAAAAAATGAACTGGACTCTTTGGCAGGTTTTGAATAAACATTCACAAACTATTTATTGTAATATAGAGATAGACAACTTGAGGATTTTTACAATTTTGTAACATGCAGATAGAAATATGTGTTGAGAAACCGGAGAAAGGAGCTGAGGGAAGTCTGGGGGTGGGAGGTTGGAATTTTCTTTTGTTTGGAGGTGGGGAATAGAGGGAAAAAATAATAACAATGTGGATTATGTATTTTTGATAAAACCATTGTGTTGAAATTTCCAATAAAAAATTTTTTAAAAAAGGGAAAAAAGAAAGTGCTCTCAGCTGGATCCCACCATGGCACACTTAGTTCTACATTCCTAGCAAGAATACCGCCACTGGGTGGTCGGTCAACGGTTTGCGAGCGACCTAGTTCGGTAGCCGTTCTTCCGAATTCTCACATCTCTGAATTTTGCAGTGTGCCAAGGGACAAGTGCAGAAGGGTGTAGCCGAAGGCATCAACTTGCAAAAACGAACCCCCATCGCTCTGCAGAAATGTGTGTGCACCAGGCACACGATTCCATCTCAAACCTGTACCTAGCGGGAGAAATTCGCACGGAAACGCTGGTGCAATTTCCTCAAGGATTTTAAAGAAATACATTGCAAACTGATGTTGAGAACTGGACTTAAGATTGGAAAAAGGAGAACCTCGACGTGAGAGATTTTTCCCTGTCCTAGCTAGGAAGGGAAGGGTCTGGCAGCTTAGCTTCCTTCAGTTTCTCGTTCCCTCTCCCCCCAAACTTAAATCCAGTTCTCCAAATTTCTGCAGAAATTTGCATTTTTAAAAAATCCTCATGAAAAATTCCCAAGTCTCGCTTCCTGCAGAGATCCAGACCCCACATGCATTAAACTTAGAGGTATGTCCAAGTGGGTGGGTGGGAAGAAGTAAGGGCGACCTCACAGCAAAAGGGTAAACTTGCATACCCTCCAAAATTCTCCCGATGTCCCATTCCATAATAATATATTTTTTTTATTTATAAGAGCATTTCAACAGAGGAATGGTCTCCTATAAGAGATGGTGGGCTCTCTTTCCTTGGAGGTCTTTAACCAGAGCTTGGCTGACCACCTGTCATGTATGATCTAGTCGAGATGGCTGCATTGCCTGGGGTTGGGCTAGATGACCGTCGGGGTCCCTTCCAACTCTACAATTCCGTGATTCTATTATTTATATTCCCTTTTTCTCCAAAGAGATCAGGACGGACTATAGGCTTCTCTTCTTCTCCATTTTATCCTCACAACAGCCCTGCGAAGTACCGTATTTTTCGCTCTATAAGATGCACTTCCCCCTCCTAAAAAGTAAGGGGAAATGTGCGTGCGTCTTATGGAGCGAATGCAGGTTCCTTGGCTTCAGCAATAGCAACGCGAAGCCTCCGAAGCGCAGAGGGAGAGCTCCCCCTGTGCTCTAGAGGCTTTGCGTTGCTTTCACTGAAGCTGCCTGAAGCCCCCGGAGCACAGCGGGAACTTCCGCTGCACTCCGTTGGCTTCAGGCAGCTATCCGCAAGCCTTTGGAGAGCAGCAGGAGTTCCCGCTGCGCTCCGAAGGCTTGCGGATAGCCGCCTGAAGCTTGGAGAGCGAGAGGGGTCGGTGCACACCGATCCCTCTTGCTCTTCAGGCTTCGCTTCGCTGGAGAGGCGCTGCACAGTTTTCCCTCTCTGCGCAGCACCCCTTCAGCGAAGCGGGAGGAGAAATGGAAGGGGCTCCGTTTCTCCTGCCGCTTCGCTGAAGGGGCGCTGAGCAGAGAGGGGGAGAATTCCCCCCCCCCCCCGTTCTCCCCCTCCTATGGTCCGGTGCGTCCTATGGTCTGGTGCATCCTATAGAGCGAAAAATACAGTAGGTGCGTCTTATGGTCTGGTGCGTCTTATGGAGCGAAGAATACGGTAGGTTAGGCGGAGAGATTGCAGTTGGCCCAAGGGCAGCCAAGCAACTTCATGGCCACAAGGAGGATTCGAACCCAGGTCTCTCCCAGGTCCTGCCCCGACCCTCCAGCCGCTACACCACACATGAACTGGGGAGGGATGCTGCTGGTGAGTGACGCACTTCCGCTCTTCTTCTAGGAGCCAAGGGAGGAGAGGCCATGGCCGGCAACCTCTCCGAGCTGGAGGAGGCCCTCCTGACGCTGGTGAGGAACTACGACAAATACGCCGAGAAGTCCTTTTTCCTCAGATACTTTTTCGGGAAACAGGGCAAGATCAGCAAGGAGAATTTTGGGAAGATGCTCAACGAGGAGCTCAGCCACGTGCTGTCGGTGAGGCAAAGGGCAGCGGTGGTGGTGGTGGCTACAGAGCATGCTTCCTCATCTAGCTAAGTATTTCCAGCACTGACTGGCAACAGCTTGCCAGGGTTTGCCAGGGTTTGAGGCAGAGAGATCTAGGAATATGGCTGACAGCAAAGGACCCCAATATATTCCAAGACAACTATGTTCAAATATGGAAATAATTTGGGAATATGGGGGGTGGGGAGCGAAACTCTCTTTGTTGGGAAGCCATGAAAATGAATGTATTACCAAAAATGTTGTTTTCATCTCAAACTGCACCAATTGTTAATAACACAGGCTGCTTTAAAGAGTGGCAAAAAGAAATCTCTAGATCTGTCTGGCAGGGGAAGAAATGGAGAATACAGTATAAAATTTTGATAGATGCTAAAGGAAGAGGTGGCTTTTCCCGACCAGACTTTCATTTATATTATGAAGCAGCCTGTCTATGTTGGTTAAAAGAATGGATTGTGTTGGAAAACACTCAGTTGTTGGACTTAGAGGGCTATGGTATTAAGTTTGGTTGGCGTGCAGGTCTATAGTATGACAATGCTAGAATACATAAGAACATTTGAGCCATGTTATTAGAAAGAATTTCCTTTTGGAAAGTAAAACACCTCTATGGCTCTCAGCTATAGAAGCAATCTCGTTGAAAAAACTTAATATTTTGGACGTTTTGGACTTTACCAACCAAGAAGTAAAACTGAAGAAACTAGAGGAAGTCAGAAACTATGTGATGGGTTGAACGAAGTGTTTAAAGGCAACAAGGAACACAGGTTTATGGACCAAAGTTCCCAGTTTGAGAGGGAACTAGTAGAAAATAGAGAAAAACTAATTTCTAGGATGTATAAGATACTGTTAGAATGGGAAACAAAAGATGAAATGGTTAAATCTGCCATGATTCCGTGGGCTAGAGGTGTGGATCACAACACAGATTTAGATCTATGGGAGAAATTGTGGAAAACAGGTATGAAGTTTACGGCATGGCTTTGAGAGAAAAATTAATGAAATGATTTATAGATGGTACCTGACACCAAGTAAATTGGCTAAAATGTATAAGTCAGCATCAGGTACATGTTGGAAATGTAAAGAAACAGAAGGTACATTTTATCATATGTGGTGGACTTGTAAAGTCGCCATGGGATATTGGGAGACGATATACAATGAGATAAAAATAGTAATTAAGAGATCTCTCCCCCAAAAGACCGGAATCTTTTCTTTTAGGGTTAACCGCATCAGATGTACCAAAGAGCAGTTGAAATGGATGGAATATGCAGAATTAGCAAGTTGTAACTGGTAAAATCAGAGAAAAATATGAAACAGCTTTCAAGGAGGATTGGAAAATGTTTGTAGATTGTTAAAAAAAAAATGTAAACACGTTATCACACTAGCAGGTTTGAAGTAAGTTCAGCGGCAAAAGTTACTTTGAGAATACAGTCGTACCTTGGTTTTGGAACAGCTTAGTTCCCAAACGTTTGGGCTCCCAAAGGCCGCAAACCCGGAAGTCAGTATTCCAGTTTGCAAACTATTTTCAGAAGCCGAACGTCCAGCATGGCTTCCGCAGCTTCTGGTTGGCTGCAGGAGCTTCCTGCAGCCAATCAGAAGCCACGCTTTTGGTTTCCAAACGTTTTGGAAGTCGAACGGACTTCCGGAACGGATTCCGTTCGCCTTCCAGGGTATGACTGGAAGAAGTTATAATTATAATATACAGCAGCTGAAGATAACCAGGACAAAACCATGGGAGGGAGGGAGGAAAGTCAACTTTTAACAGTGAATGTATGCTGGAAAGTATTTGATTACAGTGGACGCTCAGGTTGCGAACGTGATCCGTGCGGGATGCATGTTCGCAACCCGCAGTGTTCACAACCTGCAGCAGCGCATCTGTGCACACCCGGGTTGCGATTTGGCGCTTCTGCGCATGCGCAACCTGAAGCGTTCCGGTACTTCTGGGCTTCGGCAGTCCGTAACCTGAAAGAACACAACCTGAAGCGTCTGTAACCCAAGATCTGACTGTAATTGTATTTTATTTGTGGCAGGGAGTGGGAGGTTTTCCAAACCCTTAGGCGTTAGGTCTTCCATTCCTGCCAGTGTGGTGTAGTGGTTAAGAGCGGTAGTCTCATAGTCTGGGGAACCGGGTTCGCGTCTCCGCTCCTCCACATGCAGCTGCTGGCTGACCTTGGGCTAGTCACACTTCTTTGAAGTCTCTCAGCCTCACTCACCTCACAGAGTGTCTATTGTAGGGGAGGAAGGGAAAGGAGATTGTTAGCCGCTTTGAGACTCCTTAAAAGGGAGTGAAAGGCGGGATATCAAATCCAAACTCTTCTTCATCTTCTTTTCTCACTAGTTCCGTTCCTTCTCCTCCCTGCTCCTTCCCTGTCACTCCCATCCAGAACACCGACAGCAAGACTGCTGCCCAAGAAATGTTTGCTGACATGGATTTGGATGAGGACGGGAAGATGAGCTTTGATGAATATTGGAGGCTGATCGGTGGCATCATCAACCAACTTTTGCACGTGAAGCAACAGGTTCAGGAGCGTGACGGATGATGGAGAATGGGAGCCCGCAGGACAGAACATGTCAGCTGCTCCCCACCCCACCCCAAGTCCCACCCTGCCCCATTCCTGCCTTAACTTTGCCATCGTTCCAGCTCTCCCTACTGGCCGGGCCGCACAGGACATTTCCCAATGGAAGATCTTCTGGAAGCCGAACTCTACAGAAGATCGGGAACGTGGACCTGTCCGTGGAAACTGCCTGTCCGTCTGTTCAATGCCTCTTGACGGCTGCACTCGGGACGCCGTGTCTAGGAGGGTGGTGGGCAGTTGGAGGGAGGGGCTGGCCGCGCCTCGGGGAGTTGCAGCCAGACTGTCAGACTGTGACAATAAAGACTGGACTCTGAGTGTCAGAGTCGTGTGACTTCCTCTCTGATCAGCTCAGAGTTAAGCTCGATGTCCTAGGGTTAGAGGAGAAGAAGGGCATGCACAACCTCCATGGTCAGAGGCAGCAAAGTTTCTGAATACCAGTTTATGGAAACCTCAGGAGGACAGGGGGCCCTTGCGCTTGGATCCTGCTCGCCGCTCTCCTCCCACAGGCATCTGGTTGGCCCCCGTGAGAACAGAATGCTGGCCTGATCCAGCAGCCTCTTCTTATGTTCTTATCCTCTTTTAAGGTCATCCACAGCTGCGTCTTGTGGCAGTGAGTTCCATAGTTCAGGCACTTAAAAAACAACAACACCATTTACAGTGGTACCTCGGGTTACAGACACTTCAAGTTACAGACGCTTCAGGCTACAGACTCCACTAACCCAGAAATAGTACCTCGGTTAAGAACTTTGCTTCGGGATGAGAACAGAAATTGTGTGGCGGGAGTGAGAGGCCCCATTAGCTAAAGTGGTGCCTCAGGTTAAGAACAATTTCAGGTTAAGAACGGACCTCCGGAATGAATTAAGTACTTAACCCGAGGTACTACTGTATTACAACAGAGCCTTGCGCATGAAAATCCAAGTTGGTGTATTGGTTCGCTTTGTTAAAAGCAGCGCCAACTGCTGGAGTTTCCCATTCCTTCAGAAGCAGTACATTCCCTAACATCGTGGCCTGCACAGGCCAGGATGGAAGACTCTCTCTCCAACCTTCTAAACTTACTCTCCTTGGGCTTGCCGACCTGATAACTTGCATGTACAGTGGTTCCTCAGTTTAAGAACAGCCGTGTTTACAAACGATTCGGTTTACGAACTCCGCAAAACCAGAAGTAGTGTCACGGTTTGAGAACTTTACCTCGGTCTAAGAACGGAATCTGAACAGAGGAAGGGCACCGGCGGCAGGAGACCTCTTTAGGGAAAGCGTGCCTCGGTTTAAGAATGGTTTTGGTTTAAGAACGGACTTGCGGATCAGATTAAGTTCGTAAACTGAGGTACCACTGTACAAGCAATGAAAGAAAGAAAGAAAGAAAGAAAGAAAGAAAGAAAGAAAGAAAGGAAGGAAGGAAGGAAGGAAGGAAGGAAGGAAGAAAGAAAGAAAGAAAGAAAGAAAGAAAGAAAGAAAGAAAGAAAGAAAGAAAGAAAGCAAGCAAGCAAGCAAGCATCTTTCTTTCCGGCCACTGCAGGCATGTTCTGCGTTCCAGGACCTTTTTCCGGTTGCAAGTCAGTCCCAGTGCAGAACTGAAGCATCTGTTGCCCTATGCCTCCTCTAGCAGGGCCTGCCTCTCATAGGAGGGTCCACAGCTGCTTGATGCTCTCAGGATTTGTGCCTTGCTGCTAGCAAACATCTTAGAGCTAAGCCCCAGGGGTGGACGTGCAACAGAAAAAATATCGCCTTCTCATGAGGCCCTTTTCTTTTATCTGTGTCTAATCTTCCAACAATGGGACGCAGGTGGCGCTGTGGGTTAAACCACAGAGCCTAGGACTTGCTGATCAGAAGGTCAGCAGTTCGAATCCCCACAACGGGGTGAGCTCCTGTTGCTCGGTCCCCGCTCCTGCCAACCTAGCAGTTCAAAAGCACCTCAAAGTGCAAGTAGATAAATAGGTACCGCTCCGGCGGGAAGGCAAACAGCATTTCCGTGCGCTGCTCTGGTTCGCCAGAAGCAGCTTAGTCATGCTGGCCACATGACCCGAAAGCTGTACGCCGGCTCCCTCGACCAATAAAGCGAGATGAGCGCTGCAACCCCAGAGTCGGCCACAACTGGACCAAATGTAGTGCAGCGGGAGTTCCCAATGCGCTCCGGGGGCTTCAGGCTGCTTCAGCAAAAGCAACGCAAAGCCTCCGGAGCGTTGGGGGAGCGCTCCCTCTGCAAGTCGGAGGCTTCGCGTTGCTATCGCTGAAGCCAAGGAGCCTGCATTTGCTCCATAAGACACACACACATTTCCCCTTAATTTTTGAAGGGGGAAAGGTGCGTCTTATAGAGCAAAAAATACGGTAATTAACCTAGGTAAATGTCCTAAGTTTGTACCATTCTTTAATCCTAGTCTTAATCCTTAATCTTTAATCAACAAGGGTCGCGTAGTGATTTCAGGCTCTTTATTGCAGCTCGTAAAACAGTGAATGAAATTCCCCCCCAAACCTCATGATTTATACAATGAGTCCCGTCTGATTGGCTGATTCTGCTTCCCTCCTAGAGCCTGATTGGGCTGCTCCTGCAGGCCAATCAGGTTGTTGCATTCTAGGATCCTACCTGCCTATTGTTCAACTTCCCAAGCTTAGTACATAATATCAGGTTAGCTAATACCTGGGGGGATTAAATTAGTACTTAAAAGCATCCAAAGAATGGACCATTAAATGAAACGGAATAAAGGAGATTAGGTGATGTCTTGGACTGAAGTGCTACACTACTGTGAGGAACAAACCCCTCTTGAGATGACCATGCTGTAAGATCTGGACCCCCTCCGTGCAGACTGGAGGTGTAAATCTGTGAATTAACCGTATTTCTTAAAGCCACAACAGTCTCCGCTGTGTCTCAGTTTCCCATCGTTCAGCCCAGACACTGAGGTCCAGCTCCGAGGAGCTTCTGGTGGTTCCCTCATTGCAAGAAGTGAAGCTACAGGGAACCAGGCAGAGAGCCTTCTTGGTAGTGGCACCCTCCCATCAGATCTCCAGTAAATAAACAACTACCTGATTTTTAGAAGACACCTGAAGGCAGCCCTGTTTAGGGAAGTTTTTAATGTTTGGCGTTTTATTGTGTTTTTAATATTCTGTTGGGAGCTGCCCAGAGTGGCTGGGGAAACCCAGGCAGATGGGAGGGGTATAAATAATATATTATTATTATTATTATTATTATTATTATTATTATTATTACACAGACCCTATGTGTGTGCCCAGAACCCCATGGGGTCTTGCGGCAGAGAGAGGGGCAGGCACGCGACTGTTGTAACAATAATTTTTATATACAGTGGTACCTTGGGTTACATACGCTTCAGGTTACACACTCCACCAAGCCAGAAATAGTGCTTCAGGTTAAGAACTTTGCTTCAGGATAAGAACAGAAATTGGGCTCTGGCGGCACGGCAGCAGCAGGAGGCCCAATTAGCTAAAGTGGTGCTTCAGGTTAAGTACAGTTTCAGGTTAAGTACGGAACGAATTAAGTACTTAACCCGAGGTAGCACTGTACTTCTGTCATGCCACCTCTTGCTCATCATTTCTCTAAGCTGAGAAGTCCCAAAAGGTCAACAACATCTGGGGAGGGACACAGGTTCCCCATCCCACATCTGGAACCTTTTTTTCACACAATTGCTAACTAATAGATGGACAAAACTGTGACTCTCCTGGTGCTGTTTGACTCCCATCTGACCCATCAGCCAGGATGGCCTGTGACTGGGGATGTGGCCCCACAACACCTGAAGGGCCATCCCTTTCCTAAGCCCTGTTAAGAGAGCCGAAATGACGAGCTTTCCAGAACGACGGCTGCATTTAACAGAAATGCATGTTCATGCGCTTCTGCGTCCTGAGCACCAGAGGGCAGCAGAGGGAGCTGGCAAAAAACGCAGGGCCTCCCCTGTGGAATGTGCAAAACACACAAACACACACACACAAAACACAAACACACAACTCCTGCAGTGGACGATGGTCAACGCAAGGTGGTAGCACAGGCCAACCGATCGCTCCCTCTGTGATGCTCATTCCAAAATCGGTTCTGAAATGGCTTCCAGCATTGGAACAACTCTTAAAATGAGAGCTAGACGCTTGCACCCTTTCAAATTCGTTTGTTTGTTTGCTTATTTATTTATTAAATTTCTATACCGCCCTTCATCCAAGGATCCCAGGGTGTGGTTTGCAGTATTAAAAAAAAAACAAATAATAGGCGAAAGATTTATACAATCTGAAGAGAAACCAGAGTACAACAAAGCGAACTGGACTCCTTGGCTGGTTTTGAATAAACATTCACAAACTTTTTATTGATAATAATCAGCTAGATAGTTTGAGGATCTATACAAGTGTGTAACATGCAGAAAACAGCATTTTTAGAGAAATCAAAGACTGGAACTGAGGGAAGTCGGGGGTGGGGGTGGGTGGGTTCTGTGGGGGGAGGGAGGAAAAATGGGGGGGGAATAAGGATGATATGTTTCTGGATAATATGTTTTGTTTTAATTTTGAATAAAAAGCTATTAAAAAGAAACAAATAATAATAAACTGCATAAAAACAAACAAAACAAGAACTCCGCCAACACAGTTTTAACAAGCTATATAGATTAGCCAAAGGCCTGGGAGAAGAGGAATGTTTTCTCCTGGTGTGCTCTCTGTTACATGCTCAGAGGCTTCCCTGTCACCTCCTGAGCTAAGCAAGGATTTGAACTCGACTCCCAGAGGTGATGTTGAGGGAGCTGTAAAAAGCCCCCAATCTTTCTCTCTACATCTTGGGCAATTGGGACAACCCAATTCCCTCCATCTGTACTACAGTTCCCATCAACCAGTGCCAGTCCCGAGACTCGGCGCATCGTAATATATACATCACCATCATCATAAAAGAAGACCATGATGGGGGAGTTGCTAATAAACTTTGCTGCATGGAGTCTCTCTGTTTAGGGTTACCAGACAAACACACACATTCTTTCCTGTGATAC